GCTTGCATCTGGATGCAAGTCAAAGAGCAAGTTCACTGCAAACCGTCTTGAAGACATCACAGCCATGAAGTTGAAACTCCATCATCAGCATCAAGTTGAAGTCACTCATCACTACGTTTCTACTGACAGCAACGTGGCTGACATGCTCACACGGGGCCTGTCTGCGAAGGAGTTCCACAAGAAGCTGGCCGTCTGGTGTCACGGACCAGACTGGCTGGGAGATCATCCTGAGCAGTGGCCCAAGAGTCCTCTTCACTGCCTGTCGGAAGAAGGGAAAGTCATGGTTGAGCTCCAACAACATCATCAACAGGTGGAGATCAACACTGAAGCACAAACGCCCGCGACTCAGACTATTCTCAGCATCAAGGACTTCTCTTCTCTTCGAAGACTGCATGGGGTGACGGCTCGAGTGTTTCACTTCGTGAACGTGCTGAAGCACAGGGAGGCTGATGCCAAGGAGCAAGCAACACACTACTGGTTGAAGGTGATGCAGGAGAATGCGTTCACTGAAGAGATCAGCTACCTGCAAGACAAACAAGAGAACAAGTTAGTCAACTCAGCCTCAGTACCCAAGCTGGTGAAGGAATTGAATGTCTTCATAGACAAGTCAGGTCTGCTAAGATGCAGAGGACGCTTGTCGAAACTCAACCGATACTCATACGCTGTACACAATCCCATTCTCCTGGATAAAACCTATCGGCTGACAACGCTCATGATTGAAGATCAACACCGACGATGCAAACATCTGGGAGTCGGCACGACGCTCACAGAACTGCGAGAGCACGGGTACTGGATCCCAAGTGGTCGTCAAGTCGTCAAGCGAGTTCTGAAGGACTGCATCACGTGTCAGAAGCTGAACGCGTTGGCTTTCGAGTACCCGAAGATGACGAACCTCCCAAGAGAACGAGTCAGTCTGATCAAGCCATTCTGCAACACAGCAATCGATTACACTGGACACATCTTAGTTGAAGACACAAATGGAGAGATGAGGAAGATGTACATTGTACTGTACACCTGCCTTGCCATTCGCTGTGTACATCTCGACCTTGTCCCCGACTTAAGCCTGGGTTCGTTCCTGCAGTCATTCAGACGATTCTGCAGCACATACGGCGTGCCAGAGTTCTTGTATACCGACAACGCTAAACAGTTCCTTGCAAGCCAGAGGGTATTGATCAATGTATTCACATCAGACGAGTTTCAAGAATATCTTACTGAACAAAGCATCAAGCACAGCACCATCCCGGTTTACGCCAGCTGGGTTGGCGGAGTCTACGAGAGACAAATCAAGACAGTAAAGCACTGCTTATACAAGACAGTAGGAAGAGCCAAACTTGGTTACTTCGAGCTCCTCACACAGCTCAGCGAAATACAAAACATGGTCAATAGCCGACCGATCACTTACGTCTACAGTGAGATTGATGATATCGAGCCGTTGACACCCAACAAAATACTCAAGCTACACACAAACCCGAGACTCCAGCTGGTGGACAGTTCACACGCAACTGACCCGCTGTGGGTTTCGACGCCTCAAGATGTTCACCAACAACTCAACAAAACCCTGCACGAGCAGCAACATCTTCAAGTGCACTACAAGAACATGTGGTACCGTGAGTACTTGCTTGGTCTACGCGAGAATTCGCGAGACCTATTCCACACAGACTGGGATGACAAGATTGCTGTCGGTGATGTCGTCCTCATCAACACCAAGAATAAGCCTAGAATGTTCTGGCTGATGGGAAGAGTCCTACAGCTTCTGCATGGAGATGACGGACGTGTGCGTCAAGTGCTCTTGAAGACGAGCACAGGACGTACTGAACGCTACGCCATATCGCACCTCTACCCGCTGGAGCTACAGAGTACCCACACAGGTCAAGACAGCACAGATGGCAGCACCAGGTGCCCTGATGAGTCGACTACGCACAACACCGAGACCGAGTCAAGCCCAGAGACCTCAGAGAGGACTGCGAGACCTCCACGAAGAAGGGCAGCCATCAAGCAAACCGAGATGGTCAAGTCCCTGCTACAATCAGGCAGCATCTAATCAAACTGTCAAACGAATGCTAAACCCTGTTTAGCATCAGTCCGTGGGAGGGTGTAGAAATTCCCTTGCAAAACACCAAAAACCAGCCACTCTCCCTCCCCCTCTCCTACCGGCTCCTCCCCTCCCCCCGCCACGCGTTGGACACTTGGCCGGGCTGGGCGGCGGGTCAGGCGACCGGTCAGCTGACCTGCCCCCGGGCGATAACCACGTGACTGGCGTCCGCCCGCGGCCGCCCGCCTGAGCCACGGAGAGGGCAGTCGCTGTCTGTTACCGGTTGGAGCTATGTGTGTTCACGACTGATTTGTGCCTGAATTCACCTATTACAAACATACTCATCAAGAGATACCTACCTACGAGAACATCGAGAGATCTACCTACGCGGTTCGTCCCGGCAAACCTACGCGGGGAAGTACCAGTGAGACCGACCAAATCACAGGACCGACGACTTCGAGACAAGACCTACGTCAAGGTAAGCCCGGCCTGTGTCTGTGGCGGTCCAACTTTCCCCTCGAATTCTCATCCCTACATCATTACCCTGTCAAAACCAACGTCAAAGAATAATTTTCTGTGTGCCCCTCGTACAAATCCGTACATTACTTTTTAAGATATTCAATTAGAGCACATGGCAGTTGGAGTCACTCAGCTGAAAAGGGTTCATGAAAATCATTTGGACATGTATGCTTTCAAACCAAACTGGGGCCAGCAAAGAGCACCAGCCGACTGGCCAGGGTCAAGATCTAGCTGAGGTTGGGGGAGCAGCAACAAACTTCGCTGCTCAGATCAGGTGGTAGGTACTCTTCAATTCATTCCACGTGTTACACTGCTTAGAAATGGGGTATATTCAGAGGATAATTCTGCATTCTCCTTCATCCAACCTTCATCCACCAGTAGCCAAAGGCCCGCAGTAGTACAGGGACCTCAGTTTTCGACCCATGTTTGAGGTCCCAGCACAGCCATACGGACCCCAGTCCCTGTTGGAGGGTTCCACGTAACGCCCCTACGGCACTTCCAATGAGACCGTTCCAGCGAACTCCGTTTTGTGATTAACATCAAGTCGAATGAAGACTGCCTGAAGGGGAATATAGAGTTTACTTTGATACCGTGCTTCGACCAAGTCCGCAACGCCCACCAAATCATTGCTAAAAGATTGGAGAAGTCCCAAATTCGCCGGAATTGAGCGTGTGCCTGGCGCTTTACAGATCGCACAGTTGATCACGTGACGTAGCCGTGAAGCGCAGCACGTTGGAGCATTACGTCACGTGGCCAGTGCCGTGGACTGGCATTAAGAATACATTACCAAAATACATATTGCCACCGGTCTCATCCAGCCCGACAAGTGGTATTGACAGGGCAGGTGCGACCGTAGGAGTTATATATTTTTTGAAATGTCATCCGCCAGCCGCCGTCCAGAAAGCGGTGGTCCCCCCACTTTGCAGGCTGCGATAGGAGTCCGTTTGCATTAGGCTTACAGCCGACGAGGCGGAACATCTCTCTTTGCGATGAATGCTCAGTAATTAATTTCATAGTCCAATTCGAAGAATCGTGTCAGCGCGGCAGCCATGTTCAAAGTGAGACATTAAAGAGCTCAAATTTAACAGAATATAATAAATGAGAAAGACGCATGCAACTAAGCCGTCTAGCTAAAATAAGATACAAAACCAATAGAGGTGAGTCGTGCCGTTAACACCTTTGCTACTAATAATGTTTTCAGCCAATCAGCTGGACGCTTTTACTTACATTATCACCTGTCTGCGTGAGGAAGGTATATTCGTATGCCCACGCACTAAATATCTCGGATATTCACTTCAGAGTTCAAATGAATACCAGCGTCTACTTCATTAAAGCGTGACGTCTGATAGGTGTGAGTCACTCAGCACTGCGAGACGGGCCACTAAAGCAGCCGGCGAACCACTAAACCAGCCGACACGACCACATGAAACTCGATGGACGAGTCGGGCGGCGTCCGTCCGCCGGAAGTCGCCGGTTCCGGTGTATCGGCTCCGAGTGCACGCAGCCGGCCCGGAGCCCCCTGCTGCCCCTGCCGAGCCCCCACTACCCCCTCCCGGTCCGTATCCCTCCCAGGCACAGCGCCACACCCCTCTCTATTGTCAGCACCGGTCAGCGCTATTACGGGCCGTCAATAGCCCGCCGTATGTCCCCAATGGATGTCGCCTCCCACACGACGGTCGGGGCCAGTTCCGAATACGTGGGGAAGTCCTGGCGTGGGGAATCCGCGCTGATGAACAGAGACTGATGAGACTGCACTGGCCTCAATGGTGCTTCATGGAACGAGAAGACCCGGAATGTGTCCAGATCGAGGGGTTTCGACGATACCCGGGAGCATTAGGATGTCCTCCCACATGTACAGGAACGGCGATGTCAATTAACAGGGGAAACAAGAAAGAATGGTATACATTTCAATTCTCCAATAATCTGCCTGGGGAACAACCAGCTGACTCAGAAAGCCACCATCACCAGTGACTGCGATTGGAAAGCCGGTTTACTTGAGATTTGAAAGCAAATGTACAGAGACAGATACACAATTAATTGAATCGGCTGAACAGACATTGCTAGGAATTGGCGATCAGATTCAGTCTCCGATTTACCACATACGCTGCTGATGCATATTTAGTTTTCAGCAAAAAAGGGAGGAGCTTAGCGCTTAAGTAAGCATACTTTTTCGCCTACCACCGATAAACGTCAATGAACCATACCACACTCGTAGTTACCAAAGCCGCCGCCAGGGCACCCCAAGACGCGAACGAGGGGCAGGTCATGTTTGGTATCATCCACCAGTGAAAATTTAGCTATGTTCAAATCCACTTGATCTTTGTGATTATTATATATAGGTTCTAGCATAGCAATCCAATACGGGAACACAAATTACACTGGTAAGCCATGTCACACCACTAGCGCTGCTCGCTGTTGGACAGCCGAACCATTGGTTCTCGCTACTCACCACAGATGGCTCTGTACTGGCGGCCGAGGCGGACTCCTGCGTTTTGTCGCTCTCCTCGCTGTCGTCCATGTAGCTGAGTTTGCCGGGAGCCGCTGGTGTGAACGGCCGAGCCGTGTCGGTCAGGAGGGTGGGATCAGGCCCGGCGGCGGACGAGGGCGGGGGCGGCGGCGGTGACGAGGGGTGCACCGGCGCCACGGCGGCCTTGTGCGGCGACATGTCGCCCACAGATGGCATGCCGGCCGGGCCGACCACCAGAGGCACTTGGAGAGGCGGCAGACGCTCCAGGAAGCTGCCATCGCTGCCGGCACAGTCAAAGAGCACACAGTCAGGCGGGGTGCGGTCAGATGAACGATGGCATAGGCGTGATGAGGAAGAAACAAGCACGTCAGGATGACACACCAATGTCCCACTCTTGAGAGATATGAACTGCATGCACGGGTTATACATGAGGTGCACATTACATTCGGTACATATTGGATGCACAACAGAATAATGAAGGTAAATTTTACCAATTCCTCCAAACAGATCAGCATTAACAACGTTCATCCAAATAAGTTGGAAAGGAAAACACTTCAATCAAAGCAGGCTAGAAAAATGAAACAATCGTGCGCCGCACCGAGATCACCGAAAAAATGGACACTGATATGTAAACACAAAACGTTATCAATGTTCAAACTATCACTAACAGCTCCAATCATCTCTAACGTCCAAAAGCGACTGAGATAGCACTAATGAACGTTTCCGATAAGATAAGGCGACATCTCCGTCCTTGATCCCACTTCAACCCAACTTGGGACGTCGACATCAAAAAACATTATAGCGCCCTCACTAATTTGCCAAAGAAAACGGTTCGTACAGCCTTTTGCTATAAATTACTGCAAGAGTTCAGTTCAAAGTCCCAGCTCAGATGCAAATGTATATCACAGGTCCGTGTATATGTAGTGATGTTGTCCATTTCCCAAATGAGCGCGGTTCGAACTGTGCCTGTCTGTACCCGCTCCAACCTCCATTCCACCAGAGCGACGGTCGCTCCTGCCGCCACCCCGACATCCGCCCGGGCACGGCGGCGGCGACCCCGCCGGAACCGGCAGTGACGCGAGACCACGTGACCGGCCAGCTGGTCGGCTGGGCGGAGCAGCTTGCCGGGAGTGACACAGTCGCTGAGATCACGTGGTATCAGATAGCCACCTCATACCATGAAGCCGACGTCGAAGCACGAGAAACGCACAGGCTGGAGGGGAATCTAGAACTGGGGCGCAAAGTTGAGAGGAGTTCAGAAGAATGTAGCTGTACAGAGCTGAACACAAGAGTGGAGTACAGAACTGAAGCCGGAAGAAGTGAAAAATACGAAGTACAAGAATGCGATTGTGAAGCAATACCTAATGCTATCAGATACCTGTCGCAACTGAACCATATCATTCTAGGACATCTTGTGAGCTGAAATACACCACCTGACGCTTGCGAAACTGACCTAGATGGCGCTGTTAACGTAGGTGGCGCAGACTTCCCGATCACATGATTGGAGCGCCTCAGCCCCACGAACACGTGGACCTGACCGTGAACGTCTTGAGGGAGCAGAGACCATCTATCTTTCATACGGAGCTGGCGTCCGACCCACAACCATCACCCACCGTTCCGTGCTTCTATCCTCAGGATACTGAGATCCTTCTCCTCCACGCCGCAACCCCCCTCCGGGCTGGACAGGCAACTTTATCTCATGCGGGCTGCTCCCTTGGAGCGGCACCGCTGCTCCCGAGGGAGCGCACCCCGTAGCCGGGTGCAGTGAGTGCCTTGGGGCTGGGTGGCCTGTCCTCTGGACGGGCTCAGCCCCGGCGACTCACTAGGGTGCCTGCCCAGACCAATGTCTCCCCCTATTTCCTATCATCCTCCCGGCTCTGAAATGGTCTCATTGGACCGAAAGGGCCTAACCCAACAAAACAAAAACAAACAAACCACAACCATGAAGCTCATTGCAAGACAAAATACCTACTTATCTTCCGATTTGCCGGCCAAGCAGCCCACCTTGCTCCGTCAACTATACCTATCCTCGACCTATACACCCTATCAAACGACCCTGACACAGGGAACAGCCCAGACAAGATATCATCCAGCAGTGACCTAACACGACCCCGCCAGAGCTGACGGAGGACTCACGGCAGCGGCCGGCGGCGGCGCAGCAGCGGGGTCTGCTCAAACAGCGCCCTCTTGCGCGCCACATTGCCGCGAAATCTCTCGATGAGAGCCGCCACTGTGTTGATGGGCTCTGCGCGCAGCATGGCCGCCCCGCGAGCCAGCATCCCTCCAGGCTGCGCTGGCGGCGCAGCGTCCTCTGGGGCTTCACTGGACACCGTGTCAACGGCTGAGGCCTCACCACCGCTCCACGGACCCTTACGCAGACCCTCTCCACCTTCACACCACGTCAGCCGCACGTTCAGGAGCTCTCAGGTCAACACTCGCCTCCACGAGTAATTCGCGCTGCGCTGCTCGCGGCGGCGGCTCCTCCACGGTCGGACTGACTGCGACTGAGGGCGTGCGGCGCGCGGTGACCGCGCTATCACGCCCCCCCCCCCCCACGTCCGGTCGGGTCAGACTGCAGTCCCGCCGCCCCTCACCGCGCCGGGGCGATAGGAGCAGCCGATAGTGCAGCCGCCGGCGATTGGGGAGCTCACGGGATGGTAGCGCGTCAGCCGTTAGCCCGACCCGACCCGGCAGCACGGGCTGGGGTCGGGTGATAGGCGATGGCAGGTGACATAAGGTAATGCAGGACTACGTAAACGGACGTCAGATGATGTCGAGTATTGTTAACTGAGATCAGATGACGCCCAGAGAGGTTTTCTGATATAAGGTGAAGCCGATTTCCTACAGAGTAGGTATGTGTGACAAAACGCGTAATCAAAACCATCATCAAAATCACGAAGACCTGCCTGTTCGCTTTCAAATGGCGTGTCAAGGTATGAAACCCAACACCAACCGCATTATCACGATTTCCCATTCTCGGCCGGCTATCCTGCCATGCTCATAAGGAGCCGTGCCGGCGTATTTGGAAATTCCGACCTCGACGAGCATCTGTGGTAGAAAACCACCCCTTTGGTAGGGGAAACTACTGCTGTCTGCTACCATTTGCACTACATGTGTCGCTATAGCTGCGACATCTATGCATATTAAATCGCGACGTGTGTGTGCGGTGGCCGGTGATTCTTGGGTGATTCTAGTTAGCGATTAGCTAGGGCTGGGGTGGATCCAGACTTTCAGTTTGAGGGTGGGCGGACTCTTGGCCGGCCCGATCCCCGGCAGTCAAAGTTGCTGAGCGGGGGCCCGGGGGGGGGGAAGGAAGGTCCAATATAATGACCCAAAAGACATGCCTATTGCCCATAGGTATATACGTATGTATTGAATGGTATCAGCACTCAGCAGTGTGCCTCCTGAGATGTTAGTGATTTTTATCGATTCATCAAGTTGACGATTTGTTTTTTGCGGATATCTTAAAAACGGCAGCGCTCCGTGTCGGTGTTTTTTTTAACTTATTTAATAACCTTTAGCTTTAACTTTACCAATACCAATACAAACCAATACATACTATATACCTATGCCTATAGGCAATAGGTGTGGCATCATATTGGACCTTTCTCCCCCCCCCCCCGCTCAGCAACCGGACTGCCAGGGATCGGGCCGGCCATGAGTTACCCCACGCCCACCCTTAACCAGGGGATGCGGAGTCGTGGACATTTCAGACGGTTCCGACTCCGGTTCCGGCTCCGGGTGAAATGCCATGGCGGCTCCGGCTCCGGCTCCGGCTCCGAGTAAAATGGTCCGGCGGCTCCGGCTCCAATAGGTACTCAGTACATTTTAAATACCTACGGGTGGCAGAAAAAAGAAGATGGGATTGGTGCACGTTGCTTCTGCATTTGCATAACTTAAGGCTATTTTCATATTTTGAATACCGTATTTCTTACTGCCTGGAACTGTAAGTTCAAGGCAGTTCGGTTTGACAAACCGAACTAGGTCAATATTTGTTTCCTCTTCAAAAAAGGAGCCGGAGTCGCCCCCTTTTTTGACAGCTCCGGCTCTGGCTCCGGCTCCGAACTATATTGTTTCACAGCTTCGGCTCCGGCTCCGGGCAAAATATGCCGGCTCCGGCGGCTCCGGCTCCGGCTCCGCACCCCGGCCCTGCCTCAAACTGAAAGTCTGGATCCACCCTGGTGCCCTAGCTAATCGCTTACTAGAATCAGCGCACACAGATGTCGTGGTTTACAAGTATATGCATAGATGTCGCAGCGATAGCGACACATGCAGTGCAAATGGTAGCAGACAGCAGTAGTTTCCCCTACCAAAGTGGTGGTTTTCTACCACAGACGCTCGTCAAGGTCGGAAATTCCAAATACGCGCCGTGCCGCCGCGGCGCCGTCGCATCGCGTGACAATTAGTAAACCTTGCTCCGTTTACCACGCGCTAAAAGTCACAGAGTTGTTTGTTGCCCGTGAACCGGCGATACCACACACGCCAACAGTGCCAAGGACCCGTTTCTTTCCCATGCCGTCCCAGTCTGTCCGTCGCTCGGCGGAGCTGCCACTTTTGCCGGTAACGGGCCCGGGTCTTGTCGGCAGTGGTTTCCGCCGGCCGCGTCTGATCATAGTTCGGAGTGCAGAGTAATAACCGGGAACCGGCAGCCGGCCTTCCGGGCCGACGTCGGGAAAAGTGCAAACATGACTACAGGGAGCGCTCGGCAAGGCTGGGAACCGAGCCGACCTGAGGGCAGGAGCGGCAATCACCTCCCGGGCGCTCACAGCTACAAGCGAAGCGGGCAGGCTCTGTAATTTATACCCCATCATCATTACAAACAGATCTCGCATACGGCTGCCGGCTGATATCACGGCTTATCATGGCGACAGGCGCGGCGATCTTGCAGCCGGATAAGGGCGAACAAAAGTTAGTGCCGACCCACAGTATAGAAAGCAGCCCAGGGTCCACCGTCCTTCAGCTCGTTCCCGTTGGTGACTGGCAATGCCGTGAATCCAGGAACTAGCCACGGCGGCACGGAACATGGGCCGTGCGCTAACGGACCGCTGAGTCGTAGAGCCACCGTGCTGGCCACGGCCACTGCCGTACCGGCTACGGCCACGGCCGTCCGGTTACGGCCAGGGGCGTGCACGGCGGTCGATGTCTGCCGACATTGGCGCGCAGTGCCCTCCTCAAACTACCGGTGACCACGTCACGATTACCAAATGTTCCACGGACAGGTGAAGAAGGACAGACAGGCCGACAGACCACCGACAAACCAGCAAGGATCGACAGCGTTTC